CATTCATGGACGGATTTTCCGGGTATAATCAAATAAGAATGGCGCCTGAGGACATGGAAAAAACAATTTTATCACACCCTGGGGAACATTTTGTTACAGAGTGATGCCCTTCGGGTTAAAGAACGCTGGTGAAACGTACCAGAGGGCTATGATAACCCTATTCCATGATCTGATGCACAAGGAAATTGAGGTATATGTTCATGATATGATTTCTAAATCCCAAACTGAAGAAGGGCATGTAGAAGATTTATTGAAGTTGTTTCAGCGTTTGAGGAAGTATCGTCTCCACTTGAATCCAAATAAATGTACCTCCGGTGTTCAATCAGGGAAATTGTTGGGTGTCATTGTTAGCCAGAAAGGAATTGAACTTGACCCTGATAAAATCAAAGCAATTCAAGAGATGCCAGCACCGAGAACTGAAAATCAAGTCAGAGGGTTCCCCGGGCATTTGAATTATATTTCCAGATTCATTTCTCATATGACTGCAACGTGTGAACCGATCTTTAAGTTGTTAAAGAAAGATCAAGGTTGTGTGTGGACATATGACTGCCAAAGGGAATTTGAAAGTATTAAATAATATCTGCTTGAACCTCCTATCTTGCTCCCTCCCGTTGAAGGAAGACCATTGATTATGTATCTGACAGTGTTAGATAATTCCATGGGTTGTATTTTGGGACAACAAGATGAAACATGGAAGAAAGAGCATGCCATTTATTATCTCAGTTAAAAGTTTACTAATTGTGAGTCACGGTATTCCATGTTGGAAAAGACATGTTGTGCTCTGGCCTGGGCGGCAAAACATTTGCGGTAGTATATGTTGAATCATACTACTTAGTTGATCTCCAAAATGGATCTAATCAAGTACATTTTTGAAAAGCCTGCTCTTACTGGGAGAATTTCCCGTTGGCAGATGTTGTTATCTGAATATGACATCGAATACTGCACTCAAAAAGCTATTAAAAGCAGCATGTTGGCAGATTATCTTGCTCACCAACCAGTCGATAATTATCAATCTGTGAAGTATGATTTCCCCGATGAGGATGTGATATTTCTGAAAGTGAAAGTTTGTGAAGAACCATTGCCCGAGGAAGGTCCTGATCCTGAATCTCATTAGAGTATGATGTTCGATGGAGCTGTGAATACTTATGGAAAAGGAATTGGTGCTGTGATTGTCACTCCACATGGATCACACATTCCTTTCACTGCAAGGTTGACATTTGATTGTACTAATAATATGGCTGAATATGAGGCTTTCATCACGGGTCTCGAGGAAGCTATTGATCTCAGAATTAAAATTCTAGATGTGTATGGTGATTCAGCTTTGGTAATAAATCAGATTATAGGAGAGTGGGATACTCTTCACCCTGGATTGATCCCTTACAAAGGTTATGCTAGAATATTGTTACCCTTCTTTAATAAAGTTGATTTCCATCACATTCCTAGAGATGAAAATCAAATGGCGGATGCTCTGGCAACTCTGGCTTCTATGTGTCAAGTGAATACTTGGAATGATATACCTTGAATTATAGTTTGGCGACTGGATAGGCCCTCTCATGTGTTTACAACAGAGGAGGTAGCAGATGAGAAACCTTGGTATTATGATATCAAGCATTTTCTTCAGGCTTAGGAATACCCGATTGGTGCATCGAATAAAGATAAAAAGACATTGAGAAGATTGGCTGGAAGTTTCTTCCTCAATGAAAATGTGTTGTACAAGAGAAATTATGACATGGTCCTGCTCAGATGCGTGGATAGACACGAAGCAGACATGTTGATGCATGAGATTCATGAAGGCTCATTTGGCACTCACACCAATGGACATTCGATGGCTAAAAAGATGCTAAGGGTAGGTTACTATTGGCTGACAATGGAATCTGACTGTTACAAAGTGTCATAAATGCCAGATTTATGCGGACAAGGTTCATGTGCCTCTGACACTTCTCAATGTGATCTCTTCCCCATGGCCTTTCTCTATGTGGGGGTATTAACATGATTGCGATGATAAAACCCAAAGCTTCAAATGGACACTGTTTCATCTTGGTAGCAATTGATTACTTCACCAAATGGGTGGAAGCTGCTTCGTATGCTAACGTTACCAAGCAGGTGGTTGTGCGCTTCATTAAGAATAATCTTATATGTCGGTATGGTGTGCCAAGCAGAATTATCACTGACAATGGCTCCAATATGAACAACAAGATGATGACATAACTTTGTGAGGAATTCAAGATTGTGCATCACAACTCATCTCCGTACAGGCCAAAGATGAATGGGGCTGTTGAAGCTGCTAATAAGAATATCAAGAAGATCATCCAGAAAATGGTTGTTACTTATAAAGATTGGCATGAAATGCTCCCTTTTGCTTTGCAAGGATATTAGAAATTTGTTTGCACTTCAACAGGAGCAACCCCGTTCTCCCTTGTGTATAGAATGGAAGCGGTACTCCCAATCGAGGTTGAGATTCCCTCTTTGCGTGTGATAATGGAAACCAAGTTGTTAGAGGCTGAATGGGTCCAAAACAGGTTTGACCAATTGAATTTGATCGAAGAGAAGAGAATGACGACTTTGTGTCATGGGCAGTTATACCAGAAGAGAATGAAGAAAGCTTTTGATAAGAAGGCCAAACCTCGTGAATTCAGAGAAGGCGACCTCGTGCTCAGGAAGATCATGTCTTCTAACACTGTTTCTAGGGGCAAGTGGACTCCCAATTTTGAAGGATCGTATGTTGTCAAGAAAGCCTTCTGTGGCGGTGCATTTATTCTTGAAACTATGGACGACGAGGAGTTCCCACGTCCCATGAACGCTGATGTAGTCAAGAAATACTTCGCCTAAGGAATTAAAAAGAACAACTCGCTAAGTTGAAAATCTGAAAGGGCGGCTGTGATACGATGGGAGAACTGACTAGATGTTTTGCGTCTCGTTCGCACTTGTGCGGTTAGCAAGAGTCGCCACCGAATTTTCTTTTATCCCAAAGGAAAGGTAAAAAAGCACAGGAAAGACCTTTCGAGAATTTTCTCAGGTTCGGGGGGTAGATTATGAAAAGGGAAGGTATTAGCACCCTTTTCATCCATGGTTTTCCATGGGCTCTTAGTTACTCGTTTAGATCACTTGCTTTTGTTTGATTGCGTGCTTGTGGTGTGGGCTTTGAAAGTATTTTGGAAAATCTCTTTGTAACGGTTCTCGTCTCTATAAGAACGTATACGAAGTTTTGTTTCGAAAAATGGTTCAAAGAGGTGTTTGTGAATTGTGTTTTGAAATGTGTTTTGAAAAGAGGTTTTGCAATGGTTCTCGTCTCTATAAGAACGTATACAAAACGTTTTGTCTTTTTGAAAATGTTTTTGAAAATGTTTTTGAAATGAGAGTGTAGGTGTAAAAGTTTTGTCGTGAGCAAGCGAGTAACTAAGAGCGAATCTATCTACTCGAAAGGTCTTAAGTTGTTCTTTTCTTCTTCCTTTTAATGGTGATATCTTACCATTGATTTGGTAAGAAGCCCCACCATTGGATGTGAAGGGACAAGCGCGGGTCAATTTTACAATCATTGAAGGCAACTTGTGAGACGCTTTAGCAATTTTTTGGGACGAGATCGTTTTAATCGAAGGAAACATCGAGGGTCATCGAGGGACTACGATCTTTGTTTATCAAAGGGTCATTGCTAAAGTGTCTCATATTCGAGGGACATGATCATATTTCTGTGGCAACGAGCGAGGTTACCCTAGAGGTGCGCGTGTGAAAAAGTGTGTTGGTTTCAAGTTATTTTATTCTTGGATTAGGTTATCTAGCGATTGATTTTTTTGAATCTTGCCATACATGCCTAGTTACTATACAATATATGGAATATAGTAAATTGTGGGAATTGAAATTCTACGCTATTACAAAGTATTCAGGAATGGGGGTACAATTGTTACAAATGGGGATGAATCAAATGAAACAACAATGTCCAAATATCAAATAATACAACCAAATCGAATTTTTGTACGATTTAATATAAAGTTATGGCAATTTATGAAAATAAAATCAACAAAATATGGAAATGAGATTTTAAGTATATTACTTGAAAAGAAGAAAGTAAAACCTATTCTGAAAATGAAATAATTGGTTAAAATAAATTAAAATCACATGTATTAGTTTTGTATTTTCACTTACTTAAATAAAATCTAAAGAAGGACAAAAAACTAAATTCTACTATTTTTAATGTTTTGTTATATGTATATTACTTAATAAATTTATTTACGACAAATTTTATTTTATCATGAAGAAAATAAACAGTTAGAAGAAATCAACTAAACAAAATTAAAACTAGAATAAAATGCGAAATTAACAAAATTGATTACTCACGATATCTTCTAAACTAATAATTTTTTTAAATTTAGAAAAAATATAAAAGTGTAAACAACAATATAGTGTTACCAAATGAAGTCTAAAGTCTAAAACTTAAACTAAAAAAAATTATAAGAATTAAACAGGAAGTATAAACAGAAAATAAAGGGGGTGAGATATCCTTTTTTTTGTTACCGAAAAAAAACTCCATGACTGTTAGGTAATTTTCTAAACTAATAATAAAAGCTAATAAAATAAATTTATATAAAGTAAAAGGGTGGCATTTAAACAAAGCATGAGGAGGTTTTTTAGCAGGAAATCCGAAATTAGGCTAGATGGAAAACTGGGTCGGTTAGCAAAATGCAAACGGGCTTAGCAAAATATGGTGGGTTATCAGCAACCAAACCCAAATGACTTAAACCAAATCTGAATGTTGATTAAGGGAGGACAAACAAAATTAGGTTTTGTTTTGGGATTTATCCCATGCGGTGCCGCTATTTGCTGGTCATGTTCGCCCCTGTTCTTCACAAAATATCAAAAAACAAATCCATGGTTGAAGCATCAAGCTTCAACCTTCTCTCACGCTTAGCAAAAATAAACAACAACAACAAATCTCTGTTCACCGGTGACAACAAAAAATGAAGCTACGGTATCTATACTTTATCCTTCTTCTTTGTTTCAAAAAAATGCTATCAAAACACCAATCATCACCGCGATTCAAAAAAATCTGTTGCAAGAAAAGGTTGAAGAGACTTACCAGTCAAAGTTCTCCCAATGCGACTTCGAGGTGATGAATAAGAAAAAACTCTCAGGCTCAGGTATGCGCTTTCTTTCTCTATCTTCTCTTCTTCTTCTCTGATTCTTGTCGAGTTAAATCCTTTGGCGTGTTACTTTTTTTTATTTCTCTATGTTGTCGCGTTGTTGGTTGTTAACAGCAGCGGGTTGTTGGTTGTTAACAGCAGCGGAAGGAGAAGATTCGTGGTATGTGCAAGCAAGGTAATGGCAACTTGGAAAAGTTTCTGGGATTGTTTGGGTGAATTTTTTGGTATTTTCTGGTGAGGTTGTGGAAGGGATTTATCAGTGAATTGTTCTTTTTTTTCGTTGTGAATTTTTTTTGTGAGTTTTGTATCTGTATATCTATGTAACTTCCGCCCCCCGCCCCCCCTCTTGTATGCAGGGCTGCCTTTCTTATATTGAAATTAGGGTCAATTTTTTTAGGGGGAAATTAGAGCCACGAAGTAATGAATTTGAACTAAATCGGTAATGTTTTTTTTTTGTTTTTCTACAGCAGGAATTGCCTTGCCCTCTTGGTGCAATCCTTGGTAAAAAAATTTAGACAACTGTAGTCTGGTTCATACAGGTTTTGAAGCAGGCTGCTTTGACAGTTTTGGACAGAAGGTGCAGGTTTTGAAGCAGTTTGTAGAAGAGCATAATTTTGGACTGATGCAAGAGGTTTATGGACATCACTTCTATTGTGAGCTGGTTTTTGGCGATGAATTTATGCAAGAACTGTGATGCCTTTGGTGTTCAATTTTTCTGTTTTGCTTTCTTTCCAAATTGGTGTAATATATGTACTGTACTATTTTTTACTTAGGTCTGCTATGATTTCTGAATATGGAAGGGCTGTTGTATGATCAACTTTGGACAACTTTGGCTATATTTTGATCTTTGTCTTGTTGCGTTTCATGTGGACAAACTTTGGTGCTAATGAAGATTAGTGGAGTTTTGAAGAGGAAAGCATGGTTTAGCATGAAGAATTCAAAGGATTTCGAAACATGGAAATGAGTATTAGGCTTTAGGAATTAGGACTACAACTTTTGAACTCTTTTTCATTGAATATGAATCCTTAGGCATAGGAACCTAAATTATTTCTTTTGTAATTGTAACTTGAAACTTGGAGAAACATGAATTGAATTGAATTTTTCGTGAAGCATACTTTTTTTGTATTTCTTTTTGTAATATTTGAACATCTTGTGAATTTTTAGAATTCTTGAGTAATGACATGAAATTTCTTTATAATTGGTTAAGCTTGACATAAATCTTGTTGAAAGTCTCTTGAATTGTTTGGAAGATTATGAATGGATCTTGTAGTTGTAGCAAATAGTTGTACTAATTTATTTTCAAATACGATAAGTTTGAAAACCTAAAGTATTTAAATAATAAATTGTTTTGTAACAACGTTTGAAAAATTGGAGAAAGTCTTATGAAATATTCTGGTGTTAATTGAAATCCTTTACTGTCAAGAACTTGTGATTTTCTCTTCGCATCTTCACTGATTCTTAAAGATTCCGAATCAAGATAATTGAAACAAAATTCTCCAATCTTTCCAATAATTCCAATCAAGATAACTTAAATTCCAATAATCATGTAATCTTGCAACTGCATTCCAAACAAACACGCACTGTGTATTCCATTTCTTAACCAAACAAATGTTTTAGAAGACGCAAATCATCTGGTTAACCTTGAGAACAAACACTGTCTTTTCATTAAACTTGAGAAAGCATGAAAACCCGTGAAAGCCAATTGGATCTTTGAGAATTCATTTCTTTTGAGAATTACAAGAAAAACCCTAATTGTTGGTTTGCTGCCATAGAAGAAAATTTGTCTGATCGATTCCTGAGCCAACTTGAATATCTGAGAAACCCTAGGGTTGTGCTTTCTATGAAAAATGGGAGGGCAAATTTTGGGGTACAACAGCTGCCCCTGTTCAATCTTCTTGAACCTAAAGAGTTAGATCGGAGAGTTTTGCCGTTCGTGACTCGTAGGTAAAAGTTGATTGGACACTAGAGTGCCCATAAATTTGCGCTCGACAAAAGTGTAATTGATGGAATGGGATTAAAGATGCCATTTGGAGAGATGTTAGAATCTTGTTGGAGATGGGCTTGTAGATGCCATTCAAGAATGTTTGGTTGTAAATTGACAGAATAAACATCAGAATGGTGTGCATATTTGGAACGTATCTGAACTGTATTTGTCTTTGAATCTGAATAAGTGACAGAATGACTTCCGTTTCTGGAGTGTATCTGTACTGTATTTGAATTGTATCTTGAAATTAAGTCTGAATGAGTAACAAAATAGCTTCCGTGTCTGGAGTGTATCTGGAGTGTATCAGTACTTGGAGTTTGAATAAGTATCAGGATGGCATCCTTGTCTGGAGCGTATCTGAACTGTATCTTGAAATTAAGTCTGAATGAGCGACAAAATAGCTTCCGTGTCTGGATCGTATCTGTACTGTATCGGTACTTGGAGTTTGAATAAGTATCAGGATGGCATCCTTGTATGGAGTGTATCTGAACTGCATCTTGAAATTAAGTCAATAAGCGACAGAATGGCTTCCGTGTCTGGAGCGTATCTGGACTGTATCGGTACTTGGAATCTGAATGAGTAACATAATGGCTTCCGTGTCTGGAGCGTATATGTACTGTATCTGAAATCTTTGAATATTTGTTAAAGATAGCTGTTAATCTTATCTTGAAAAGGGTAAAATGTTAGCTGAAACACAAAGTTATGTTGCATGAAATGTATGATGCAATAAATGTGTTTTATCCATGTTTATGATCTATGGATGTAATGTATGCGCATGTAAGCTGATTTGCTATATTACTGAGGAAAATAAATCCTTGACTGCTGCCGGGGAAAATAAATCTTTGACTGCTGCTGAGGATTCCATTGTGAGGGTAATGCCATATACCCTTGAGGAATCTACTTGGGGAATCCAGAGAATTTTAAAGACTTCTACTAGGGATTATTGACGGGAGTCTTTGTTATGTCGAGAAGCAATAAAAACTCTATGGGGAAAAAGTTTATCCTGTAGTGAAAACTCTGTGGGGAAAAGCTTATTTCTGCTGGGGAGTTCAAGAGTTTGGGTTGTATGTCAATCTACTGGGGAGTTACCCTAAGTTGGGGAGAAACAAAAGTTAACCGTTATGTGGTTGATTTTCAGGCTTCAAGACAACTTGCTGGGAAATTTGGAGAAATTGGCTGGTTTCCGCTGTGGGTTGAAAGTTTGATAGTTTCGGCTCCGCTGGGGATTGGTAGTTGGTAGTTTTGGCTCCGCTGGGGATCTTAATGACATGCTGATTTGATTGTGTATGGAAATGGGCTTAAAGATTCCATTTGGAGAAATAGGGGAGAATCATCGGAGATGGGCTTATAGATGCCATCCAAAGGTGATTGTTGACGGAAAGTTTGAACTGGATCTGAACAGAGAATGAATCAAAATAAACCATCGAGAGATTTATCTATTGAGAGATTTTATCTGAATCAGTAAAAATCTGGAGACAAATCAGCATAAACCGTTGAGAGATTTATCTGAACCAGTAAAAATCTGGAAATGAATCAGAATAAATTATTGAGAGATTTATCTGTAACAGTAAAAGTATGGAAATGAATCAGAATAAACCGTTGAGAGATTTATCTGAACCAGTAAAAATCCTGGAAATGAATCAGAATAAATCGTTGAGAGATTTATCTGAAATAGTAAAAAATCTGGAGACGAATCAGAATAAACCGTTGAGAGATTTACCTGAAACAGCAAAATCTGGAAATGAATCAGAATAAACCGTTGAGAGATTTATCTGAACCAGTAAAAATCTAGAAATGAATCAGAATAAATCGTTGAGAGATTTATCTGAAATAGTAAAAGTCTGGAAATGAATCAGAATAAACTGTTGAGAGATTTATCTAAACCAACAAAATCTGGAAATGAATCAGAATAAACCGTTGAGAGATTTATCTAAAACAACAAAATTTGGAAATGAGTCAGAATACACCGTTGAGAGATTTATCTGAACCAGTAAAAATTTGGAAATGAATCAGAATAAATCGTTGAGAGATTCATCTGAAACAGTAAAAGTCTCGAAATGAATCAGAATAAACCGTTGAGAGATTTATCTGAACTAGTAAAAATCTTGGAAATGAATCAGAATAAATCGTTGAGAGATTTATCTGAAATAGTAAAAAATCTGAAGACGAATCAGAATAAACCATTGAGAGATTTATCTGAAATAACAAAATCTGGAAATGAATCAGAATAAACCGTTAAGAGATTTATCTGAACCAGTAAAAATCTGGAAATGAATCAGTATAAATCGTTGAGAGATTTATCTAAAATAGTAAAAGTCTGGAAATGAATCAGAATAAACCGTTGAGAGATTTATCTGAACCAGCAAAATCTGAAAATGAATCAGAATAAACCGTTGAGAGATTTATCTAAAACAACAAAATCTGGAAATGAATCAGAATACACCATTGAGAGATTTATCTGAACCAGTAAAAATATGGAAATGAATCAGAATAAATCGTTGAGAGATTTATCTGAAACAGTAAAAGTCTGGAAATGAATCAGAATAAACCGTTGAGAGATTTATCTGAACCATCAAAATCTGGAAATGAATCAGAATAAACCGTTGAGAGATTTATCTGAAACAGCAAAATCTGGAAATGAATCAGAATAAACCGTTGAGAGATTTATCTGAACCAGCAAAATCTGGAAATGAATCAGAATAAACCGTTGAGAGATTTATCTGAAATAGCAAAATCTGGAAATGAATTGGAATAAACTGTTGAGAGATTTATCTGAACCAGTAAAAATCCTGGAAATGAATCAGAATAAATCATTGAGAGATTTATTTGAAACAGTAAAAAATCTGGAATATCTTCAACTGGAATAAGAATCAGGGAGATCTTAGTGTCAATCTGACTGAACCAGAGAAGGTCCTGAATTAACTTTGACTGGATAAGAATCAGAAAAATCTTAGAATCGATTTAACTGAACCAGATGAAAGCCTTGGAATATCTTCAACTGGAATAAGAATTAGGGAGATCTTAGTGTCGATCTGACTGAACCAGAGAAGGTCTTGAATTAACTTTGACTGGATAAGAATCAGAAAAATCTTAGAATCGATTTAACTGAACCAGACGAAAGTCTTGGAATATCTTCAACAGATGCCGGGGAACCGTTAAATCCTGGACTGCTGTTGAAGAGTAAGTGTGTCTTCAAACTTTGCTTAGAATGTTTCCACTGGGGATTCCTGTTTCGTTGTTTGAGGAGGACTCCGCTGGGAAATGTTAATCTTTGTCTTGAGAGAAATAGAATTTTAGGAGCTTCAGTCGTCAGTTATTCTACTGGGGTATATTCTCTGTTGAATTTTAGGAACTTTGGTCGTCCGTTATTCTACTGAGGGATCCTCTCTGTTGAATTTTAGGAACTTCGGTCGTCCGTTATTCTTCTGAGGAATCATCTCTGTTGAATTTTAGGAACTTCGGTCGTCCGTTATTCTTCTGAGGAATCATCTCTGTTGAATTTTAGGAACTTCGGTCGTCCGTTATTCTTCTGAGGGATCCTCTCTGTTGAAGAGGAAAGTTAAATGAACTACTATCTGGTCGTGGTCCAGGCTTCATAGCTTGAATTTTATGAGAATTTGATTGCATCTTTCCTGAAAAGTAAAGGTTAGTTGCATGACATATATCAAACAATGATGTTCTCAAAATAAATGAGATTGCGTTGTATGATG